CTCAACAAGCAGCAAGAGCAGAAACAGCAGGAAGAAGGGAAATGAGAGAGAAAAAAGCCACAGAGAAGGGGACTCAAGGATGAAAGTAGGAGAAGAGCTCTGTAAAGAGCAAGATTCAAGGAAGGTGAGCTGATGGGATGTAGGCTGTGGAGAGGAGGAGGCCTGGGCCGGGAACCCGTCAGCAGTCATCTTGTCCCGTGGCACGACTCTGTGTGTGTCCTGACCCATGCCTGTGCAGCACGCGCTGCTCCCCACAGAACATGCGGCAGGTGTGAGATCTGCTCAGCGAGGCCAGGGCTTCACTCTGGTCTCAGTGCAGGCACAAGAAAGCTCTTCTGTTTGCCCATTTGCAAAACGAAGGACAGGAGTAGATAACTGACAACAGAAGGTTCTTCTTAAATTCAAAACTTTACAACTTGTAATTCTATAAAATGGTGCAGCAAGGTCATTGTTTAAGTGAACTAACTGGTGCCATCTATTACAGCGAAATTGAGGACTGAATGCCTGAGTGGCATGGCTGGTGTCATTACTCAGCCGTAGTTATTGACTGCCCTGTACTGAGTGTTCATCTTTTCTAAACTAAGAAGTGGGACAGGGCCCAACAAAAGATTTCTTTGGTATCTGTGAATTTACTTAATTGACAAGTCTTTAAAAAGCAGAAAAATTAAATTACTCTTAGTTATACATCAAATAAATTGCCTAAACTTGAAACAATAAAGTGCGTGAAATAAGGATCTATCTGGGAACTCTGGGGCACACGGTCTCTGGCCAGATGGGGCCCCCACTAGCTGCTGGAAGGCACTATAAGAGAATAAAGGCAAAAGCCCCTCTCTTCAAGTTACTTATAATGTGTATGATTGTGCAATTGTGAGTGACCAAAAACCACATCTAGTGGCACATCTAATTTTTGCTGTAAAAAAATCCTAAAACCTTTCAAATCTCCAGATGTAATCATATTTTCCCGTCACCTTACAATTTCGTGGAAAAAATCCCTAACCCTTTTATTTGTTGTGCATCACGCCACTACCACTGCTAAAGAACATAATAAGATAGACTTATGCTCTAAAATCGCTTTCTAATTATATTTGCAAAAGTATGTTATCTTCCTTTCTGACTGAGCTTTGCAAGTAGTTTGTAAGATTTTAATCTTTCTATTCTGATATTAGTAAAGGAACACTTCTGTCAAATTACAGCCTGAGCAACATAGCCACACCTACTTGCATAAAGCCTAAAAAATCTTAGCCAGGTGTGGTGGCACACTCTGGTGGCCCTAAATACTCTGGGGGCTCAGGTAGGAGGATCATTTGAGTGTAGGCATTGGAAGCTCCAGTGACCTCCAATCATGCTAGTGGGATCCAGCCTGGGTGTCAGAGCGAGACCCCAGCACAATGATAACAACAAGAAATAATAATAATAAACTTTTGCCAAGTGAATAATAAGTATCCCTTTGGGAACAAGTTCCTATCACACATGCAAGTTATAAAGTGCTTTTCTCTCAGTTCAGTAATATCTGGGCAGAACACGCAGAATGCCAGCCTCTGCTTTTAGGTTTTACCCTACTGTACCTAAGAGAGTAGGATAAAGGGACTCAGTATTGAGATGATGACCAAGGGGAATAAAAATTATGGCGCATACTTAATGAAGTATGGTGCATCCTGTGTTGACTGGTCTTCTGTGTGAGGGGCTTTACAAATGGATTCAGGTTCAGTAACACAGCAGCTTGTAACCAAATTTTAACAATGAATTCAGAGGAAATTTTAGTGATGTTTCTCCTTCCAAGCCTAGAAAAGTGTCAGTTTTACTTTCTAAGTGTCTAGGGCAGGGATTTTCAACCAGTGTGCTGTGAGGGGATCTTAGGTATGACGTAAAAATCTTTAAAGATCATTAAATAATTTTTAAAATAAGTTCAAAGTACAGTAAGTATATATATATTTTTTACTGTCTCCCTCTCTTTTTTTGAGATAAGAGTATTACTCCAATACCCTAACTATAGTGCAAGTAGCATTATAGCTCACAGCAACCTCAAGTTCTTGGGCTCAAGCGATCCTCTTGCCTCAGTTTTTCTATTTGTAGTAGAGACTGGGTCTCACTGTAGCTCAGGCTGGTCTTGAATTCCTGAGCTCAGGCAATCCACCTGCCTTGGCCTCCCAGAGTGCTAGGATTACAAGCGTGAGCCACCACACCCACCTTTATTCTCTTTTTGATCAATAGAATTTAAGTGTACCATGGAAGTTGAACTGTGGGTTCAAGTTTGCCATGAGATAAAAAAGGTTGAAAAACACTGGTCTAGGGTATTTTTAACTGAGGATGCCATATTATTTACATCCCAGGTAATTAAATGTAAATTATTTGGAAGCTGCTGTGCTTACACCTCTAACAATGATTATCTGCGGTGCTGGGTGATGCCTTTTTGGAGACAATCACCTGGGAGAACAGGGAAAGCAAAGCAAAGGCCAGTGAGCTGGGGGAGAATCCACAGGAATTCATTTTTGGAATGTTACCTTATTGAGACTCTTACCCTGCTAATTTGGGGTTGATCTTGCTGCTAATATATCTGGGTTCTAAAAAGGATGCAGTTTAATTCCTGTATAACAATACGGCCTTATTTGTTACAGTGATAAAAACTCTGACAGTGAAGCTGTTTTGTGTAACTGTGTTTTGAAGGATATGTGTGCTGTGCTCTCCCGGAAGCATTGAAATCTAAGTGATTATCTTGTATTATTAATGGATGCCTCTATGTTATTAATAATATCCCTGGTACAAAAATGTGAATTATTAAGAAATATTTAAATCTGTGACTATAAAGTTTATATAGCAATTAATATTAAGTGAGTTTTATATCTTTTACTAGATATATTATAGAAAAATATCTACAGGTACATAAACTATTCCGGGAAGACCTAGGACATTTCATTAATACAAAAAAGCCCTCCTTTCTTTTAATTTTTAGAAAATAATCATAGTTGCTATTATGCTTATAATGATTATTTTTGCTTTCATGGCTTTTGAAATAAAATGAAAACTGTGTGTCTTTCATATACATGTATCTATACACATATACACATGTGTATATTTCTGTACACATATACACAGAAATATACACACGTGCCATGTTAAAGGACTCAGGGAAGCTTACAGAATAAAACGCATTGATAGACAAGGAATCGGAATGGAGGAATGAGGATAACTTTCTAAAGTTAAGCAGGGAACTTGGCTTTGAGTTGTCTAATGGCTAAGGCCAATTTTAAAATTAACAATGGTTATAAAGGGAGGGGAAAAAAACCCAAACACATTCCTTAGGACAAAAGAAGTAAAAAAATGACTGTCATACAAATTTAAAAGAAATATCTTGACAGAATCTTCACAGAAGGGACACTAAGCAAGGTACAGAATGACATTGATGATAAATGCACTGGCAGTTTCCCTACACGCACTTTCTGGAAGATTCCTCCATGCCAACTGCAGGCATACTGCTGATGGACAATGGGGGAAGGTAATTCTGGAGGAGACCAGACCTCCTGGTCCAAACACAGGCTCCCAGGTGGTTTAAGTCAATCTAGGGACACAAGCTGGTGTACTGAGACCTAGAAGACTACATGGACCACATGTTTTTTAAACTAAGTGCTCTGTGCTTCTCAACCGAGTTTTAGAAAAAAGCTGATGGATGGTTTGCTATTAAAGTCTTCAACAGACATTCTGTGAGACTGTACAAGGGCGAGGCTTTAAAAGCCAACGGTGCATCACTGCAATGTGTGGGATGAATGAATGTTTTCAGGTGTTTCCTTAGAAATTCTGGGTTTAATCAATACATAAATAAATAAGCATTCAAGGATCCGAGGTTTTACATAACAAGAATGGGGATAAAGAACAATGATTCAAGGCTCGTTATTCTCAATTTTGGATTAATAAAGAACTTGTTTTCTAAATTTAGCGTTCGCTAGACTCACCTGGGAGGCTACTCAATGCAGCTTCCCAGACATCATGCTGGTTGGATATAGCGGCTGTAGAATCGGGTCATTCTCTGGAAAGTTGTCCAGGGACAACCCTTCATTTACCACAGTGCCTGACCGCGAGTCGGGCTCAATGTATGTTTTTAAAATTCACATTCCTATATGTGCCTTCAGTTCTCTCAACTAACAGGCACGGAAAGTACTTTGTTTAATACTCGGTTGTGTGATCTCCTACCTAGAATGTAGAATCTCTGAAACTGCACACACCTTTTATGTCCTCGAGGTGCCACCAGTAACCCCACGCTCAGGTCTGTGGGCAGTCAGGCTTCTCTTACACAACTTTTCTGCCTCTTTCCTTTGGCCAACGTGACTCAGATCGGCCTCACTTGGCACACTGGGTCCCAGTGAGCTTAGAGACAAGTTTGTGGCTCACCTCAGGCAAATCCGGAGGACTCTAACCTCACCATGGCCCTGTCTGGCTTTCCTATTCTTATTTTCCCTTTGTCTCAAATCCCTCACTATTCTTACACTTATATTAAATGTCAAAGCTGCTTAAAGTCTTCTATGGAACCAGGTAAGTGGATGTTGTATGTATGTATATATGTTCACACATAAGTGGACAGATATATACACATACAGGTTAAAAATCAGATCTCCAAAAGGTAGACTATCAATAGGAAGGAGGGGATCTCAGAAGTTCTACAGGTTCTGCTGGTTGAGAAGTACATCCCCCTTCCTAGGTCAGAAGTTACCTAATCCCAGGTTGTAATGTAAGTAATACGTTGAGTAATGAACACAAGAATGCAGATGTGTTTAATGTATTCTATTTCTTATCCATTTTTAAAGTTTTGAGCAAAATACCTTCATGACTCAATTACAAAAGGCTAATTCTACGATATTTGTGTTTTTGCCTATATAGGACCTAAGTCACTTTAGAAAATACGCAATTAATTGATTAGACTTCTAACTACTATTACTAACCATACCAAAAATTTTAAGAAATTGTTACTGAAAATTATTTATTTTGCACGCCATTAAAGGCTTCTTTACCTGCAGATGGCTGGGAAACATTCCTGAAGACCTTTCTTTTTAACTAAAGATCCTTCAAGGCAGTACATAATGATGTCCATAACCTTTGACAGAAAACACACAGATCTGAAATTAATTTCAAATACTCGATTTTCCAAAGTTTAGAAGATTAACGTAGGCCTCGTTTGCCCAAGGAGATTTACTATTTAAAACAAAGCAAAAGCAATTTTAAACATGTACATGCCCATAGGCTCTCCTTTCTCTTATTTGTGAAAAAATTTTAAGGACAGTGTAGTAATAAAACAAAAGAGAACTGTAAAGTCAGTTCACATTTATGTAAAGTGGAGGCATCTTTTATTCAAGCACACTAGACATATTGTTTTATTTATAATGAAACACGTCAAAGAAAACATAACTTTTAAAAATTACTCTAGTATGGACCCTTTTCACATGCATGGTGACTGGATGGAGAAATCCTTTTGACTTTGGGAAAATTCAAACGAGGTCTCTAGAAATGGCACAGAAGTTAGTTAATTTTAGTTATCACTTTCTCTTTCTTTCTCTCTATCCATCTCTCTTAGAGAGATTAGAAATAAGGACGTTGATTTATGTTACTGCTTTGGAACATTTAATTTAGGTGGTTAATGTATTATTTAAAACAGGATAGTCTTACCTCCACAAGAAGATCCACGACATCTGTGGGCATCTTTTCGATCAGAATCTCAATGACTCTCAGGATCTCCCCCTTGGCGCGTGCCAGAGTTGTGGTGTGTATGTTCTGCTGCGACTGGGTATTCGCTGCGAGCGCTGTGTGTCTGTGCACCTGGGGAGACAGTGCCACGCTGCAGACAGGACTCACACTTGGTACCACTGTACGTTTTTAGCCACTGGTTTATTTTTCACTCATCAATACAATAGGAAAAAAAGAGAATCAACAAAAACAAGCCTCTAGGTCAGAAAACATTTTTTTTTTTTTCAAAAAGTAGTATTATAAAAACTCAATGGTATTGCCTAATAAAATCCTTTAAAAATTCCTCAATATTATACGAGATCTTAATATGACCATGATGTTTTTAAAAAGAAGCAGACTGAAGATTTGTGGTACACTTGGTACTGAGTTGGATAAGAGTTAGGACACCCTGAAGTAAAAAATACAATCCTTGTTCTTGGGCAATAACAGTGCCGCTGACCCTTGAACAACATGGGTTTGCACGGCCCTGGGTCCACTCTGCAGAGATTTTCCTTTGCCTCTCTCTCCCTCCTCCTCTTCAGCCTCTTCAGTGTGAAGATGGCAGTGTGAAGACCTTTATGACAACCCATGTCCACTTAATGAGTGGTAAATATATCTTTTCATTCCTTATGATTTCCTTACCATTTTCTTTCCTCTAGTTTACTTCATCCTAAGAATACAGTACATAAGACATATATAAAATCAGTTAATCAGCTGTGTATGTTCTTAGTCAGGCTTCTGGTCACCAGTTGGCTACCTGTAGTTGAGTTCTGGGGGCTGTCAAACATTACACGCTCAGTTTTCACCTGCATGGGGATAGGCTCTCCTACCCTCTCACTGTTCAAGGGTCGACTGTAAATAAGATTTGTGCAGTACTTACTGGGTCCCACATGTTAGTCTCTAAATAATTTGTAATCAAGTTGAGACATACAAATAAACACATCTCCAAAAATAATGAGCGTGGTAAATAATGTAAATTCCCTGTGATTTTTCCCATACAATTGTAAGTTTTACATCTTAGATAAGAAAGCACATTAACAGGGCCCAGACAGGCCACGGACTAGCCATGGGGCGGTTGGTGTAGGGATGGGGTAGAGAACAGTAATAACAGTAAGAAATGCTTCAGCGTTTTACACTAACACTTGAAGATTAAAAAGTAAAGTCGAAAACATGGTTTTTTGCTTTAGTTTTTGTTTTAATATATAAAGACAGAGTCTGTCTCTGCTGCCCAGGCTGGCCTCAAATTCCAGGGCTCAGGTGACCTTTCTGTCTCAGCCTCTGCAGTAGCTGGGAGGATGGGTATGTGCCATGTCCCCCCCAGCTGAAAACTCGTTTTTAAAAGATAATAACTGTACAGCGTCACATAAAAATATTTTTAAATTACCTTTTCAACCCAAAGCTGGAATAGAATGAAACCCAAAGCATGGGTATTCTAACAACTCATTAAAAAATACTTACACGTAAATGGCGCAAATTAAGTTGAAAACCACAATTCATAGAAGAACCTGTCAGACTCAGACCTATACCTCAGACCCAGGCATAGTCTACTGCTGGGAAAAGCAGGTAAGAAATTTCCATAGCTAATAAAACTGTTCACTTATTGATACATACATTGCATATAACTATGTACAAAATATATAAACAAATAATGCACGTATATTTTAAACATAGTGGAACCTTCCTATAATACTATTTGCTATTAGAAATATACACTCTCTGAGTCTACAAATTTATTTTAAATATAAATTCAAAGCCCCACTGCCCCCACATAAGCCCGTCACTGCTACTGGGGCCTGCCTGCCTTCCTGCCTTTCCTTCTAGGCACCTTCAGGTTACAAATATTTACGGCTAGCCTATTAAGGATGGCTCTGGGGCAGACACAGGCCCAATAGGTTTTAGGTTATCAGAGTGGACTCAGAGGTATTTATTTAGTATTTTAAAAATTCATCATAGCTACAGGAAAAACAACTCGGGCAGAGTCCATACCCTGCGGACACAGAGTCTGCACATTATTCAAGCTGAAATGGAACAAATCTTTAAAAAAAATTTAGCAGTCTATCATCCTTTCCGTTTTCTCCCACTCCTAAGACCTATAGGAAAGATCCTGTAATTGGTTCATTGTTCTTTACTAGTTTCCCAGTTAGATGTGGGCAATTAGTTAGAACACTAAGAATGTGGGAATCAATTGGCATTCAAGGCTTTATCTGAGACATGTAATAGGAAAAACCATTAGCAGGTTTATGACTTACATTTTTTTGTTTACAGTTGGAGAGTGAGTGCTAAATAAGAAGTCTAGTTTTGATTACAAGTAGGTACTTACACTTGAAAAATGTGAACACCTTTAATATATTTGGATTTGCATAAGCCAGTTAGATTTCAGGATGAAAAATTACTGTCAAATATTTACAAGTGAATGAACTTTGAGATCAGAAATGAACACAGGAGCCTCAGTAATGAATGCACCACTGTGAAAGTCCGTGTGTGCACACAGACACGGTCGGCATTCATTTCAGTACTGAATTATTAGCTTGCATTGTTCTAGAACAAACTGAAAAGACGACTTGTGGATACAAACCCTGAGCTTACAGTATCAAATAATTCCTCCAAATGAGAAGACAGTGCACGCTGAGACGTTCCCTCACCTCTTTGGCTATAGTGGTGATGAAGGCGGGTGGTCTGGCAGTGGCAATGAGGGAGAGGGCATGCCTGGCTGAGCGGGCGGAGTCAGCTGCCGGGTTCAGAGGCAGCCCCATTGTGATGCTAAACAGGGATCAGGAAAAAGGAAAAAAAAGAAAAGAAGCATTAGAAATATAGACTGAGAAGATTAGACACAGCTTATAATGTCAGTTCAAGGTCAATGGGAGCACTCACACAGTTAGAATATAATGGACTTGGGACAATGAGCAGTGATTAGGAGTCAGGGTGTTCTGGCATCAAATACAAAATCGAATAATTAGCCGTGAAGATTGAAAACAGTATGCGCATCTGTCCAAAGTGTTAAAAACACCTTGTTAACAAATTATCAAGAACCAGTACTGAATACATATCACAAAGCTCAGAAAAAAGCAAGAAGGAATATGATGTTGGGTATTTCCACTTTTTTCCCTACAAAAAGTTAATCATTTGTCTATAAGGCCACACTGAAAGATGGTATCTAAGACTGTGTATCTAAAAGGAAGCAAAATGCACTCCTATCTAAAAAATTATCAAACGTACTGAAAAATCACAACATTGTTTTTAGTTCGCATGTAATTATTAGCTTGAAATGTTCTCAGTACTGCTGGTCTACTCCACACTTAGGACTTTTAGAACCAAATCTTCGAGTCAGCATGCTCTGCCAATAGTTATTTAGTATTGGTGCAAAAATTATATTAACTGACTCTCTTTACATAAAGAAGAGACAGTGTGACATTGCCCTGCTCTTCGCAAGACTGTGTACACAATGAAACACATCTTTCCAAATTGTGAGAATACAAGGGTCCTGATAGGACAATAATGCTACATGCGTTTCTCACCTCTGCTACAAATAAATATTCTTGTTTCCAGTTTCCTTCACATTTTATGTATAAACCACTAGGAAAAATATAATCAAGATTTTTAATTATAATGTGGCATGTGATTTCTCCATTAACTGTAATATATGAACAGTATCCTGTGGCTCAGTATGGAATCCAGTTATAGTTTCTCTAGTTAACTATTTAATATTTAAATATGCAAATGAAGATAGTGATGATTTATCTCATTCCAATTACGTAAGTGCATGTGCTTTCTGTGTGAACTGGATTATGCTTACTGAAAATTCTCAAAAAGATCCCAGGTATCTCTATAATTGATCTAAGAATCATTATTTTAACATTTGGCTAGGAATAATGATTCCATAGCATCTCACTATTGTGAAAGGAGATAAACTGATTATGGAACACGCTGCTTTCAATTTCTTTGTGACTGTTACGGCACTTAATTCTTTTCACTGATACTGTAACAGTCTCTCTTCTTTTTTCCATCTTGAGGATGGATAAAATGCAGGAACTCAGAGAAGAGGAATGTGGGAGAATTTTTCTTTGATGTTTCTCCCAAAAAGAATTTTGAGCTGAGAAAACACACACACATATGGAACTACACACAGACAGCAGGCTGGTGGCCGTGGCACCTGCTGTGGGGGAGCCTGGTGCCTTTGGGTTCCAGTAGGGGCTGGAAGGAGGTGTCCAGCAGGAAAGCTGGGCCGCCAGGTGGGCAGTTTCTCTCTGGATTAAAACTTACCACTGCAAAGTCAGCAAATGAAATGAAATGTTTACTATCTGAGTAGTGGTGGGGTGGAGTGCTTAATAATTATTGTAAAATTTAGATTATATACCATACTTACATCAGGCTTTAAAACATTCGAAAGCTAATGAAACTTTTTAGATACCCTGTGATGTTTCCATTCTTTTCATCCATGTGAATGAACAGAGGTTGGTGATACTAAAAGGCGGAACCAAACCAAAATGGTATGTTCGATGAATAATTCTGGGTAAACCTAAATCGAATTTGGCATGATCAGTAAAATCACAGAAGGCTGGAGCTGGAAAAAGATTTCCCAGGCTACATCCCCGACAAGCACTCAGCTATGGAACAGGCATGTCTACCTCCTGGGCAGTCCATCCTACATCAGAAGACAGGAGATAGAAGAAAAAGAACTAGACGCAGGTGGTCTAAGTTTGAAGCCAGGCTTTCCTGTGCTGTTCATGTTCTCCCGGACCCACCCCAGAACATCCCAACAGGGTGGGTGACATAGGCCTTGTGCAGAGGAGAAATTGGTTCCGGAGAAGTTCAGTGAGGAGCCAGTGTATCAGTGTGTACTGTGAAGTCTTTCTGGAAAGCCCACCAGTGCAGAAAATAAGGAGGGAAGGGCCTGAAGACATTATGGTCACTGGACTAGTGAACTGGAGACAGGACTAAACTCAGTGGCTAGGGATGAACAGCTAAAGTGCATTCCTGAGAGAGGAGTCTATTGATATCTTTTAATACCTGGGCTTTAGCTATTTTACTCAGTATGAATAGTGGTTTTTCTATCTCTGCCAGTTAGCAATTGGTATGAATATAAAATTGTAAGGGAGAGAAACCATATTAGGTACTGGGATCTATAAGTTCTCAAAAAGACCAAATTCAGCTAAAGAAAAAGTATCATGTATGGTCACAAGAGAGACCCACCTTACAGGTATGGGACAGGTGATGACACGCTGCTGACCGGAGCCTGGGAAGTGCTGAGTGTTGTATTTGAAACATAAACATGGAGGTAAGTGACATGGTTGCCCAAAGAGCAGAGTTGTGTCAAGAGAAATGTAATGCTAGGGAAAATGGTGTCTCTTTGGGTGTACTTCATGGCTCTGGGTGCTTAGGGCAAGGGTCTGGTCCCTGCAGGACAAGAGGTCCAGGCTCCTCCAGAGTCCAGTCCATCCAGGCTGTGTGCTGCTGGGATCTGCTGCTCTGAGTCCCTGTGTCTACCCACCCCCAATGTACTTTGCATGGAGAAATGTTTACAGAGAAGCTGGCAGAGACACACACAGACAGCGAGAAGGAATGCATGCAAGTGTGTGTGTGTGTGTGTGTGTGTGTGTGTGTGTGCGCACGTGCGCACCTGAGGGGGGATCTGGTCAACTGACCAACTTTCAAGGCTTGTGCATAGTGACATGTGGATATTTTCCTCTTAACCCATATGCATGTCCCATGGACACCTAGATTAGGCATAATGTCCGTTAAGTCCCTATTTCACAGTACTGATGAGAAGATTACAGAAGGTAACATCTACCCCTGCCTCTGACCTATTTCACATGTACAATAAATGCCTATTCTGACCAAAGATGCCTCTTACACATAGAAGGACAGTGAAGGGAAAATGAGATCAACCACCAGCAGGTCACAGGCTCATGTGAAAGGCCCGGTCGCATTTCACCAGTTAAACTTTGTAGAGTAAGACAAAGGGTGAAGGCTGGTGCTGGGAAGTGGGTCTGGAAAAGAAGCTATAGGGCAATGGGGAAGGAAGGAAATTGAAGACATGTAAACACGTCACCCACTGAGCTCAGTGAAGCCAGAGAACTCAAAAGTTTGTAGAGATATCATTGCGTGTGTGGAAACGACTCCCTTCCCTGGTGTCTGGCAGTCTGAGAATGCTGGTAGTTCAGCTCTGAGGTCAGGGCTCTGCTGGGACCCGGCAGGCATCCACAGTGCAAAGAGGCAGTGTTGTGAGTGTGACGGCTGAAAGGTGCCGAGGCACAGAGAGGAGAGAGACATGTGTGTCTTGGCTAGTCTACTCGATGCATCGCCATCAGAGTCGTCTTGCCCTCCACAATCTAGTTCCACCGATTTTCAACTCAGTCTTTTCACACCAAAGCTCCTAAGACCAGGAGCCAATTTGAAGCTGGGCCCTAAAACTCGGTTTCCTTTGTTCATTGCAGTCTGTTGTTAACGCTTCTCCTCTACACTGGCTCAATGGCACACTCTCCTCCCCCCCTCTGTTCAGTTCTCACCTCTCAGCTGGCGTTCTGCAAGTGCTACGACACTCAACTACCTCCCTCCGAGCTACACAAACAACCAACACAAGACCCATTCATTCCAGATCCTTACTACTAAGTTCCATTGCACCAGGCCTTATGAATCATTTTACACTGTGAACTCTGTGCAGATGTGAACCACGCCTTCTCACACGTGTGCCACCCAAAGTGCCTAGTACAGCCCTGGGACACAGGTGTAGCCCCAGAGTTACACACTAAATGCAGTTAGCCAGCAAATTCAGTAGGAGGAAAAAAATCACTTAAGCCAGTTATTGGACTCAATTGACCTGGCAATGAAGTCAAAGTAATTGATCTGATAGTCCCAACAGACAAAGTCTAATTTTCCATGTAGCTATCTTCGAAGTTAAGAGTGTGCCATGCATGTGATATATTTTAATGTGGGATTCTACCTCAATGAAGAAGGCTCATACTACCAGAGGCTTGAAAGTAAAGGGGTGTCTGCCTGATTTGGGAACCTGTATGTAAACAAAGGACTCACTCTTTTCATCTGATCTTGCTTATCTGGCTGTTACGCCGCTAACGTGTAATACTGACTTACAGACTGGGTCTTTGGTCAGAGTCTTTATTCTTAAAAAAAAATAGGACGTGACAGACTCTCTATTTTACTCAGAGTTTCAGTACACATACCCAATATGAAATGGTCGAGACGATAGATATAAATAAAAAATATGAATAGAAAACTAGTTCACGCAGGCTGAGCTCACCCTTCCGTGACTGCTCATTCATCCTGTTTTAAGGCTTCCTCCATTGCAGTGAAAGCATTTTAAAAGTTACACGTTAAGAACATTTCAGTTAAATGTCACCATCTAAAATAAAACTGTCAAATTTCATCACCTGCCAAATGAAGGAATACTGTAAAGAAATATTCAGGAGGGAAAATACTTAAAATTTCATCAAGTAGCCTCAAATTTCGGTCAAAATTAATGGGGTATTGAAAACAATCGCTTTCGTAATCAAAGAAGACTAAAATTATTTTCATAATGTGCACTTAATTATATAGCACCTGGGATTGCCAACTTCCTCCTTCCAGGTTGAACAAGTGTATTAATATCTATTCTCGATATTCCCCCCGGTCATGGTGTACCTTAATTTCGGAACTCGTAGGTGGCACTAATTTCCTAAACTCAAAGGTGGCAATTCCTCCTCCACGTGTGTATCTTTCAGACCCACTTTCTACATGCTGCACACATTTTCCAGGAATGAAAATCC